TACTTCAAAGGCACCCCTTCTTCGTTGAACGTCCTTTCTCATCATACATCTTTGAAATGGTTGAGGTGGTTAAGAATATCATGGCTTGGGTCAAGTACCCCAAATGACATCTGCTTTTTACCACTTTTAAGAGATTTTTTGGGGGGCATCAAGTGTTCCCAAAGCATGTATCATTTGATTTTTTTCACTGCAGCTTCCATGGGTATCGATTGTGGATCCAAATAAAAGGAAATCTTTGACAACCTTCAGTTTTTCTCCATTTATCATGTTGCGAATTGGTTCAGTTGTGCGGATTTTTGGTTTCTTCCTCCCCTTCCCCTTAATCTGGGGGACGGATATAGTGCCCCACTTCCACAGATTATGCAGTTCCGTTCCCCACTTCTGGGAAATCCCAGGGGTCGGCACATCCACAGTGCCATGGATAAACCTCGCCCTGGGAAAACCACCTTCGTGACCATGGAATCTCCCCTGCCAGGTAAGTATGAGATTTTGTTTTCTTATGTTGAAGTGAAATCCAAGCTGAAGGCTGTAATCTTTGATCTTCATTAGTTAGCACTTCAAGTCCTTTTTATTTTCAGCAAGCAAGGTTTGGTTCTCTGCCCTGAGTGCAGCTGATATGTCTTCCTTAAACACCATCTATCCTGAATCATCCGCCACTTCCTGAAATGGTTGGATGTTTGTTTGTTCGGGAGAGAGACACACTGTCTATCCCTCCAATTTCTTTTGATGCTTTTTCAATTGTTCAATATTTTCTCCATGTTGTTATTGTTGTTAGGTACCATTGAGTAGGTCCTGATTCATAGTGACTCAGTGCACAACGCAATGAGACACCACCTAGTCCCGCACCAGCCTAGTAAGTGTGATGATTCAGCCCATTGTTGAAGCCACCAGGTTAATCTTTCCTTTTAGGTTGTTGCCCTTATAGTTTACCAAGAATGATGTCCTTTCCCAGAGACTTGTATCTCCTAACATGTCCAAAGTATGTAAGACAAAATATCACCCTCCTTGCCCCTAAGGAGCATTCTGGCTGTACTTTTTTCAAGTGTGACATATTCATTCTTTTGGTAGTCCACAGTACTTCCAATATTTTTGTCAGCACCATGAGTCAAATACATTAATAACTCTTTGGTCTGTCTTAGTTAACATCCACATGCATATGAGGTGATTGAAAATATCATGGCTCGGGTCAGGTGCACCATAGTCTTCAAAGTGACATCCTTGCTTTTCAACCCTTTTAAAGTTGTACAGAACTTGTGAGCAGTAGGTGTACTCAAGGCAAAAGGGGATGAGTTTTGTCCATAGAACTTTGCCCATAGAATGCTTCAATATTTCACCTTGAAGTGTGAATTTTTCTTCAGATTTTTTTCTCAGTGTGAGTAATGCCAAGTGTGTTCTCTCATTCATACATT